TAATATAATATAATATAATATAATATAATATAATATAATATAATATAATATAATATAATATAATATAGCTTTTAGTCAAACCAGAATAGGACTCCAAGACCCTGATAGTGTTTACCCTACACAGTGAACCAAGAAGGCCAGCTTGACACCAGTCCCCTTGCTGTGGGAAGGACCGAAGTAGGAAGGTCTGGCCTGGGGAGGTGTGTGAGCCCACCCTTCGCTGTCCTGGGGGCTCTGGGGAGCTGGCCTGTGCTGTGGGGAGGGGAGGCTACTTTTACTTCCTCCTCCAATGCTTGCGGAAGCCACTGCAGAGGGCACTGGGCTTGTCCCCATTATCCATGTGGAAGACTGAACCCAAGCCTGGTGCGGGGCCTGAGATCACCCCGCTGCTGCACGGTGGGGGGCCTGGGGTCCCAGCCTCACAATGGCAGCCTACAGTCACTGGCTGATGCCCTCATTCTCATTCCCAGATGTCCCCGGGAGCTCCAGAGAGTTCCTTGGAGCGGGAGTGGGATCTTCTAACTCAGACTGTCAGTTCTTCCTGCTGTGACCCCTGTTTCTGAATTTCCCTCCTAGCCCAAGCTGTCATGTGTGACACCAAGATGAAGGACAAGTGTGTGGGCTCCACGTGCAACAGGTAGGGCCGGCCGGCACCTCCCCCTGCTGCTGTCACCCCTGCGCACCCCGGGGCGGGGGGGAAGGGCCGCGTCAGTGTCCATCTATCTCCTGCTCGGTCAACTGGGTAGAGACTCACAGAAAAGTGTTACAGTTTTCTTTTAGCACAAAACTTGCGCCAGGTTGAGCGGACAGGTAACTCAGTTTGCTCGGCCTCCTGTGACTTGTATTCAGAGCTCGGCACGCAAAGATGATCCGTGGCGGTCAGCCGAGACCAGGCTCCTCACCTCGGCATGCCGACCTCAGGCTGGACTGCGTGGTGTGACGTCCCGGGCACCACGGGCAGTTGAGGGGCAGCCCTCACCTCCTTCCTCTAAAGATGCTGGGCACCCCCCTTTTGTGGTGACAAACACCAATGTCCCCAGACATTGCCCAGTATCCCCTAAGGGACCGCCACTCCCGCCAAGCACCTCTGACCTGGAGCCCAAGACTAGCCTGGGTCTTATCCTGCCCGGGTTTCTAGCCCAGTGCTGTGTCTCTTCCCCCGTGGAGAGGTGGGGTGCACTGGGGTGCAGCCTGAGGGCGGTGGACGCAGAACCTGTGTACCCCAAAGGTCCTCAACCCTGACACGGTGTCTCTGGGGCCAGCTTTCAGAAACCCTGTGAGCGACCACACGCCAGCGTCTGCTGGCGTCGGGGCATGGACGCTCCGGCAGGCTGGGCGGGCTCCCTGCTTTGTGACCTGCAGCCTGCTGTGTCCTGGCGGCTGCCCTCAGTTCTAAAGGAATCCCCAGGCTCAGAAATGCCAGATGTGCTGTGGACATGGAGCGCTGACCCAGTCTGCGCGGAACCTGGAGCCTGTTTGCCCGGGGGCCCCACCAGAGGCAGGGCTGCCCGGCACCCCGGCAGTTGAATGAATCGACTGCTGGTAGAATCACTTAGCACTGTCCCTCTGGGTGGCGAAGAAGGTCCCCAACAAGAACCAGAGTGGTTTCACAGCAGCTGCCAGCAGGAACAGCAGGAGGGAGACCGCCTCTCCTCACCTGCTCGGCTCTGGCATCGGCTCACCAAAGCCGAGTGGAGATGTCTGAGCACACGCTGAAAGAGACGGTGGTGGGTCTTGTGCTGTCCTGTCTTGTGCTGGGCGGGGGGAGAGGGGGGGCCTGGGGGGCTGGGGATTGCTTTGCCAGGAGACCGCTTTTTTGTGGCGGGATGGTTAGCAACCGTGGATGAGGCTGTTCTGGGGTCTGTTGCATGGCGTATGGTCCTGTGAGCAGCTGGCGATCAGCCAGCACGTGCCGCATGGGTCAGACCCTCAGGCTGTCAGCAGGCAGAGTACCTGTGGCCTCAGGGGGTGGGCAGAGCTTGTCCACCCCACAGCCTTGCTGGGGGCCCTGGCACATCCTTATAATGGGAGGTTTGGGCAGAAGCAGGCAGCCCGGAAGGGGGTGACCACTGTACCTCTTGTGAGTCTGGAATTTTCAGCAGACTCCACGCTGTGCCATGGCGGCCAGGTGCTCTTTGGTAGTGCACAACCACAGCAGTAGGGACTCAAGCCTGCGCCTAATTGCTCAGTGGGAAAAATCCCAGCATTCAGAGAACATTCTGGTGAGGTGGCATGGCCAGAGCCTCAGAGTGGAGGCTGAGGGGACACTGCTGAGCCGGAAAGAGGCTGGGCTGCCCCATGAAGACCACGAGGCCTCCTGCAGCCTGCTCCTGGGCCCGGCCGCTGTCGGGCACATGGGCTTTCTGTACACAGCACTTGTGCAAAAGTGGTATTTCCTGGGCTGTCCCCCCAACTTTAGAAAACATCTTGTTCACTGTAAGTAACTTAGGAAAACATCAACAACAAAAGCCTAAGGAAAAGACATCTCCCGGGATCTTACCAGTCCCGGTGACCCCTGACGGGGTCCAGGCTATCTTCCGTGAATGGGCCAGGCCCCGCGGCTGGCGTGATCCTGGATGTTCCTGCTGTCACAAGTTTTGCCAAAGTAACGTAACTGTTCCTTAAAAACCTCACTCTGCCAGCTGCACGGCACTCTGGCACCCCACCTGCGTGTGCCCGGTCATTCAGTGGACAGCAGCTGGCTCTGTGGCAGCCGCCCAGCCCAACACAGAGGTTTGCCCTCGGATGGCGGCCTGGGGTGTGCGCTCAGCAGTTCAGGCAGCGGGGGACCTAGGTTTTGGTGACTTTCTGGAAAGATGGAGTGAGCCTTGCTTTGCCATGGACCGGCTCACCTGAGCATGAGTCAATGGAAAAGCCCGCGTGGCCTCTCCTGTCAACTTGCCCTTCTCGGATAAGTGTTCTTGGGTGTTTGAGGGGCTTTAGGGGGCTTTGAAAGCCCTGTCTTCTGTCTTCTGTGAACTGTCCATCTCGTCTCTGCCTTCAACGCGAATTTTAAACCCCCGAGGAGGGTCTTGAAGAAGGTGAAGCGGAGCCTGGAGCCACGTCCTCACCACCAGAAACTTCGGCCCACGTCCACTGTGGCTCACTCGAGAGTGATGGCCTTGGCCTCCCTGGGACTTTTCTAAATGTAATAACAGAAGCAGCAGCCTTCAGTTCCTGATGAGACTTCCTCAGCACGTTGACCCCTGAAAATCATCTGTTTCTCATCCACCAGGTACCAGTGTCCAGCAGGCTGTCTGAAGAGCAAGGCCAGGGTTTTTGGAACCCTCTTCTATGAAAGCGTGAGTGTGTGTGGGAAGAGGTTGAGTGGCTTTAGAGAAGGCCGGGGGTTTTTTCACCTGAAAAGGTTTCCTTGCCCCCTTCACTCATCCCCACATGTGTGGAACCCACGTGTATTTGTGGGCGCAAGAACTCGCAAAGCCACCTTTGGGGGCTGGGACCAGCTCAGAGGAAGATCAACTCTGTTGCAGGCCAAATGTTGCTGTTAATATGCTCCACTGGGTGAGGAGAAAGGGCTTTTTGTCATTGTTCTTAGCTGTAAAGCAACTTGGGGGAGCTTTTTCAGATAAGCAGCCCCAGGAACAAAGGCGTGCTATAGAGGAAGTAAGAGTCAGAAGCGGGGTGAGCTTTGGCCCGACTTTTTGGCATTTTCTGGGCTGAGGACAAACATCTTGGGCATTTCTGGGCAAGACTGTGGACAAAGGTGAACTCAGATGGACTTACGGCGCCTTCTGCCTCCTCCCACCCTCTGCCCCCTCCCCAGGCCTCCAGCATCTGCCGAGCTGCCATTCACTACGGGATCCTGGATGACAAAGGGGGCCTGGTGGACATCACCCGGAACGGGAAGGTCCCCTTCTTTGTTAAGTCCGAGAGAAATGGCGTGCATTCTTTGAGGTAATTAGTCCGTGATCAGGGCTCCTTAAAACCTTTTTTTTTTTTTTCTGATTATGAAATCTGATCAAAACTTAGAAAAGTACTGAACAAAATAAAGAAGAAGGAAGAAAATAAGATGGCTTTAACACCATCACACTGACTTCACCCCTGAGCAGCTCAGCATGTTTCATTCCAGGGGACCCCATCTCCCCAGGAATTTGCTTGAATTTTGGACCCTGCCTTTTGTCCCCTCCTTGTCACTGAGGCCTCTTTAGAATCATTGTCATAGAGGTGATGGTATCTTGAGTTTGTAGGTTGGTTCTTGATTAGTTCTTTTTCTTCCTAGAAATGAGGGTCTTCGTTTTAAAAATATGCCTACTTTTGGGGGGAGGGAATGTAAGTGGTGTGTGTGGATAGCTGAGCGGATGGAGGCCTTGCCTTAATCTGTCCTAGGAATTGGAGGCGGCAGGTGACTGGAGTGTGGAACTCCATGGGGGCCTCGGGGTGACGCACAGCTGGTGCTGCCTCTCCCTCTGCACGACTTTCACCCCATTGGGTGGCAGCGTCCTTACTGGCAAGTGGGCACCAGGGAGGACCTAGGGCTGATACCCAGCTGGTCCGTCATGGGGACAGAGAACCACTGCTAAGAAGGGAAACCCTCTCCAGCTATTGTGAGTGCTGTGCCCCCAGCTCGTGAATGCCTTCCCCGAGGGGGCTAGGCCCCCCTCCACAGGAGGATCACAGGCCTGGCACCACAGCACCATTGGGGACCTGGCCCCAGCCCGCAGCAGCCCTGGGCCTTGGCACATCCCATCCCAGACCTGCAGGCACTGGAGCACCCCCTCAGGATATCCTACTACAGGGGAAGTCGGGGCTCCCCGCTGGGAGAGCATGGAGCACATCCTGCGATAGTGACAGGGCCGCGGGTGTGCCGGCCGAGCTGTGCAGCCACTTGGGACGTTTCAGAAAGGACATGCGTCACCCTTTGAAAGACCTCGGCCTGCAAGGGGTGTTGCAATATCCCCTCTTCTGCCTCAGCCGGGGGCTGGGTGTGGAGGGGCTATGTGACACTGTCGGGGAGGAAGTCTTACCTCCACGCCTGCATGACAGAGCTGCTTGGGTGCCCGCAGGCCGGGCTGGGCAGGGGTTTGGGCCCTGTGCTGCTGGGGATGCGCCTCCCAGTGGTGCTCTGGTCCTGTCCCGCCTGGGGGCCAGTTGTGTCCCTGGAGCACACAGTGCTTTCCACGTTCTGGAAGAGAACTCCAGACTCCAGAGCCTGCCAGCAGCAAAGCAGGGTAAATTAAAGCTTTGCTCTTACTAAACCAGATGCGGTACTTCTCTCCACTGGGGCTGCTGGCGCACACCAGTGACTTTGTCTCCATCTCCAGCAGAAATCCTGCACACAGAGCAACACGCCCTCGCCATTACTCTGAGAGGGGAGCGGTTAGAAGCCTCACCTCGGGTTCTACTTTTTATTACATCGAAAAAGTAGCACAACTGTTCCTCCAATGCACACCTAACACTTTAATGATAGTATTAGTAATAACCACTTTCCTTAGAATCTTTTCCCCATTTTTCATGCTTTGTAAAGAATCATTACTCTGAGGAGTCTGTAGGCTTTACCAAGCTACCTGGGCACAAAGGAAGTTAATGAGACTTGTTCTAGAATGTTCTAAGGGCCTTTAGGATGGTGGGAAGGGAGTAGAGAGATGTAAACTCAAGACTATAAGTAAAATAAATGCAGAATCAAATTTTAGAAGCAATTCTTTTTGCATTGACCTAAGGTTTTCTTTCACAGCAAATACAAGTCTTCCAGTTCATTCACGGTGTCCAAAGTAAAAGGTAAGTTGGCCAGCCTCTTTTTTGTTTCTCAATGTGGCCCTAATAATAATGCCCAGGTTATCGTAAATTTCCCTGGATACGTTGCTCCCCATTGTTACTGACTTAATGGTTAGTGTGATCTCTAATATCGCCATTCCCAGCACTCTAAAGACTGGTCCCAAAGAGGGTCCTTGCTTCTCTGACCAGTTTCTAAGCATCCTGGAACTTAGTGTTGGCCCTTGATTTTGTAGAACAAGAAACACGGGCCTGGGGGTCCCAGCTGAATGTCTCAGAAATGCTAATGCCAGGCCTCCGGTAGCTGAGAGTTTGCATGGACTCTCACTTTCTGTCGATGGGTGTGGCCCCTCTGGCACTGTGTTGAAGGGTCCTCCTCCTTGGCAGCATCTGGGCTCAGCAGAAGCCAGGGCTTGATAGACTAGTCATGTCTGCCCCGGACCAGAAAGGGTAGGGTGGGGGTACCTGACACTTTTGCCATCTCCATCCTGGGTTTGCCATTGCTAACACTTACACAGGGTGGAGGCTTCCCAGCAGAGCAGGCTGGGGCCAGAAGTGGAGGTTAGGGCACTAGGCTGAATCGCTCTGGGCGGGGAAGAGGGGCTCCGTGCCCAGCAACCCCCTCTGCGGCTGCCTGCCAGTCCTTCCTCTCCTTCGAGAATGTGATTCTTGTCATTTGTCCCAGAATCAAGAATATCTCTTAGATATCTGTAGGAAAATGTGGCACAGATTTTTTCCCCTTTATTACAAAAAATAATGCCCATTTTTCTAGAATATTTAAAGATATAGTGAAGCATTAAAAAATAGATAAATTTCATGACTCAAAACATGTTGTTGGATGCCTTTATGGCATGTTTTCCTTATATGTAAGGAATGTTGGCAATATATTGGTGTTATGTGCCTTGATGTACTTTTAAAAATGGAAATGCTGTAACATAATTTAGATAACCTAAGGTAGCAGGATTTTACTTCTTTGCCTTTAAGTGGGCTTCTAAATCCAATTTTAATGATCTCCTTGCCCCCTCAACGTATAGCGGCCCCTTGGTGAACTACACCCATCCCCTTTGCTGGAAACATGCATGGAATCCAGGGCCCTTCCAGAAGATGGGCTGGACCATCAAAAGCTCCTGTCCTTGGGCCAAATCCTGCCTGCCTTCTGTTTTTTGTCGATAAAGTTTTATTGGCAAACAGCCATACCCACTTGCTTAACTGTCCGTGGCTGGTGCCTGTACAACTGCAGGGCTGAGTAACAGATTGCAGGGCCCACAAAGCTGAAAAAATGTCCTTTCTGGTCCTTAAGAAAGTTTGCCAAGTCCTGGATGTTAGAAACCACAGGTGGCCAGTGTTAGAACTGTTTTCTTTTTTTTTTTTTTAAAGATTCATTTATTCATACAGAACTGGGGTACAGGCCAGAGATGCGGCGGTGAGAGGCTTCACCAGAGACAGAGTGGGGAGCAGAACAGGCAGATCGACGAAGTACACTGCTGAGGGGAGCAGCGGCCGGGTCAGGAGAGGTCTGCCGCGCCATGTGGATCTCCTCCGGGGCAGGCAGGCGGGATCGAACTCATGCGGAATTGGCTTAAGCTTCTTAGTGCCGTGCTTTAACTGCTGGGCCACCAGGGAGGGCCCAGAACTGTTTTCTTAAGTCTGTGGTCTAACACAAGACGTGACCTTGAAGGAGCATTGCCTGCCCCTGGGGGATACATGTGGTGCATTCAGAGAGCTCTAGACTGCAGGACCCTCAGCCACTCCTGTCTCAGGACGCTCTCAGCTTTTCTGGACCTGTTTCCTAATCCATAGGGTAATTTTGTCCTAAGTGAGGTGAAGGGCATCTGAATCAAAAGTACTATGCACGTGAGCCGTGGGTGCTCCAGAGGAACATGGAGGGAGGCCACCTGTGACCTGGGCAAACATCGGGCACCACTTCTGTCTTGGCCTTCGAGTGACCCCCAGTGAGGTTCCTTGACCCTACTGGGTTCTTACCAGCCCTGTTTGAGGGTCTGTCCATCACAGGCCAGCATCCTGACCCTGTCCCCATGCGTTCTGTCCACAGAGCAGGACCTGGACTGCTACACCACGGTCGCTCAGCTCTGTCCATTTGAGAAGACGGGGACACACTGCCCGAGGTAAAGCTACCTGGCATCTGGTCTTGCAAACATTGGGGCTGAGTGCTGGGCCCCGTGGGGAAGGGGCTTCTTGTTCTAGAAAGGGCCCTGGTACGTGCCCACCCGGAATTGGGTCCGGGACCCACTGCATATTTCCAGTGGGCCCTCATCTCCCAACAGCACCTTGGAGTCCCTTTGTGGCATTAAAAGGCAGAGTCCCAGGGCCCCTCTCTGCCCAGCCCACTGAGAACTGAATGCCCACAGTGGTCAGCTGGGCCTGGTGTCTGTAGAAGATTCTGGGTGCTCCCACTGTGCGTGAGGCGCTGAGTCCTGTGTGGAGCGCAGAGAAAGTGACTTTGACACCTAGCTGCTGCCTTGATTCCCACTTGGCAGCATCTGTGCTCAGCAGAAGCCAGGGCTTGATAGACTAGTCATGTCTGCCCCGGACCAGAAAGGGTAGGGTGGGGGTACCTGACACTTTTGCCATCTCCATCC